AGATAAAAATACACAGCCGTCTTCTCTTCTCGCCCACTGACGAATGTGTGTCAAAGGATCGCGAGAGAATAAGCAACGACATCGACACCAAACTAAATACGCTCATTGTGTTTTAGCAAAGTCAACTTTTACGTTGGTTGGCAGATTTATTGCGCTTTTAAATAATACCGAACGGTATTATTTAAGACAAGGAACTTGTAGAAAATGAAGATGAAGATCTTTTATAAGTTTCAACTTTCCATTTGATGGTCTCCTCCCCTACCGATCGCAAAATATCGCTATTCCTCGAAGGCGCGAGCGGACGGGCATCATCGCTTATAAATATCAATTATACACTTCGTAATTCCCCACATTAGCATAATTCGCGGGCCCAAGAGACCGATTTGCCCGTCGACCACCCAGTAGCGCCCTTAAAACGCACCGTGGTCGCATCTCGCGCACCGTTCGACGAAAAGCGGAGCGTTTCGAGACCGAGCGGGGCGGCGATCGTTAAAAACGTTTAAACTGGAAGATTACACGATTTAAGGATGCAAATTACGGTGTCACCACATATACACGCGACGTATGACCCGTCAGTGGACCCTCCCGCAATCTGCATAATCGTTTCGTTAGACTGAGCCGCCGCTGATTGTTATAGGTATGGGAGCTGCACTGAAGAGAACAGGTGGCTGAAAGATCAATTTCTTCGTAGTTATCGGCGATGGGCATTATTAAGATAAAAAAAAGCACGAGAATTCGGACAATGTACGCAATAGACTTTTTAAATAGGAAAATTGGATCTGAAGAAACGTTTCATTTAAAAAATAACACAAATTATAGAATTGTAAATACAAATAGCAGTACGTTGGTATAGATACCATAGAAAATATGAATTAATAAAAATGAATTCTATATTTAAAGCGGATTTTGGTGCTTAATAATATTCATCTGTAAATTTTCAAATAGATACATTTTTTAATTCTATAAACTGCGCGCCGATTTGAACTTGAAACATAATCATAAAAGAAATTAGAAGTAACATCATCAATTACATTGACTGTCAATTTTAATAACATTTCAAAGAATTTATTGCGACAAATACTTTGATGAAAAATATACCCTGTCTGAGATGAAATTTTTCGAAATAAATTATTTGCAGTGTTTTAAGATAATTGTTAGTATTATTATTAAAATTGAAGATTAATCTAATTTGTAACATATTGTTTTCAGCTTCAGTTCTTCTTTTGTAATCACGTTTTAAGTTCGACAAAACCGAATCAGGTGGCAAAACTAAAAAATATACTTGCAAATTTATTATAAATATTGCATCAAGACCGTTTCGACCGAAATATAGGACTCTTTCTTTTATTTGTTTATTTCACTTATCAATCCATTTTTCACTTATTATGGATCGAATAATTTTCACTTTTTTTAACAATAAATACGTTAAAATAAAATAGCCTGAAGTTCAAGCATAAGAATAAAGAGAAAATTCTCTGTTGTAATTCATAAAGATCGTCGGATAATCCGTGTCGCATGAGTGCGCACAGACTTATAGTCGCACAGCAGAAATATGTGCCGAAGGGAACAGGTGCCGGAGATATCAACTTTTCGCAGCTCCTGTGTGCCAGCGTTCATTAAAGCAAGTAACGTGGGGAAATTCTTCATCGTACCCGATGCGCTTGTAATGGTTACATAGATACCCTGAAGCGATGCATTAATTATCAACAGATGCGCATGAGAATATTATACATAACATGGACCAAAAGTAATATAAAAAACAATATTTTAACTTTTACAACGTTGATATACATTAATTAAGATATTTATCCAATAGCACGTATTATCTTGTTTACATAATTTTATCAATCACTTCTCTTATAAAAATCTATAATAACTGACAATTAATACTGAAAGATAGTAATTAATTACTGATTTTAAATATTAAAAGCAATGTTGTACAGTACTTTTAAGTACTCCAAATAAGTAATTACTTTTTTTCAATAATAAATTAGCCAGTAAATTTCTCAGTAAGAGTTGTTGACAGTATGTCCATTGGGTACACTCCCTTTCATTTTATGTAAATTGCTCGCTAAATTTTCATAAAACTTGGCCTATTGGATAATTTATGTTTTATTCGCGAATCTGAGATCAAAAGTGGACTCAATATGGCGAATAAAAAATAATCTGATTGTCATACATATATAAAAATTGATTTTAGGATATTTTTTTTTATCGCGAAATAACATTAAAGTTCAAAAGTTTCGTCGTATTTGAAGCTCTTCAGTGTTATACAAACAATATTGATTTTCAAACTAATTTTCAAACTTTAATTATGAGCTGTGACACTAGAGCTTTCTTCATTAGAGATTATTACTCTTTCGACATTTTCAGGTTGCAGTCAAACTTGGCGATAAAACTTTCTAAAATCGAGTTTCACAATAATCTTCATTTTTGCAATTTGAATTTTAAAATTTTAAAGCCAAAATCAAAAAAATTCAGTGATCTCAAAAACTTCTTTAATAAAATAATATCTTTACGTTTCTTTATTAGACCACTCTCGTTCTCAAATCATTATCAATCGCAGGATTGTATGTAGTTAAATAAAATAAAGTTTTTCTGTAATTTTTATGTCGTACAGTTTTGGACCGGAAAGAATAATATCGACTATTTGCAACGTGATCTTTTCAAACGACGTGAATGAAAATCAGCAGTGAAGAGGGATGTGGAATTATCTATATAATTCAATACACAATTCACTGGGCATAATATCCAATTAAATCGAATAGATTCTAATTTGGACTGATTGAGGCCCCGATGCGCAATCTTTGAGCCGCCAATAAAGAAATTCCCCAGTCTCATATGGACAGACACGCAGACAGATATACGGTAGCTGATTATTTTATATCAGTGCCTATTCGCTGATCACCGCGCAAGCGTGTTCAAAACTGGACATTAATCGACGTACAATTTCGACGCCGACGAGAAATCACTATCGATTCCATCTCGCGCACATCCGCAGACGGTAGCAGAGTTATTTCGACATACGTGCAGCTGCACAATCTATCAATCCGAACGTATAATTCGTATTCCACGCTGTAACCACTCTCCAATTCAAAACTACATTCATTAATATGGTAATCAATTTAACCGTCATTTTTACATTTTCTTACGATCGAATACTTTTTTTAGATTCAAGATACGAAGATGAATCGGACTACAAAGACACGTAACGACCCTCATCTTAGCATCCCCAAGAGCCACCCTTTGTACCAATATTTACTCTCCGGAGCAAACAACCCCTTCCGCAGGAACTTTTCCATGTATCGATCCTTTTTTTTCTCCGTAAACCTCTGTGAGAACGCTTGGGCAACCCTTACCACTGAATTATCATATTATTTCTATTAGACAGCTCGCTACCCACAATTAACGCGGACGTATCAAGAAATTAACGAACCAAGACCACGAGGGGTAGGAACGAGTCGTCGCGACACAATACCGTCCTTTCTTTAATCCCTCTTCCCACCTCTAACGAAGGAAACCTGTTCGCCGCGACAACGGGGTGAGAACGAAAGAGAGAGAGAGAGAGAGAGAGAGAGGGTAAACGAAGAAAAAAATGGAAAGTATCCTCGTGCGTTGTCCCGGGGGCTCGACAAAATGAACCGGGGGAACTTCTTACGAAAAGTTTTTTGCGAGTAGCCGACGAGGCTTCCGCTAATTAATGCGCGCCGCGCTGTCGAGAAGACGAGCGCGAACGAGCGCGAGCGGGACGGCGTGGATAATTGGAATTATGTGAAAAAGGCTCTCGTAAGAAAGGACGAGCGGGTAAGGCATTCGAAAAAAAGGACGCGTTGTCGTCACGTGACGGATGTAATTGACGATCGCGAAAAGAACCCTTAGACCGCCGACGTAATTGAATTCACGACTTGAGAAGCTTTTTTTCTGCAATGCCGGTGCACCAACCGTTGCCGTGTCGCTCGGTGTTACATGTCCGAAACAGAGTACATACAACATAGTTGAACCATGTAATAAGCATTAATTTTCGACCATCATTGATTATAGTTTTAATGGACAACGTAGAATTTTCAAAAAAATTCAATCTATTTTTTAATAAAAATTCTGTAACAATATATAATATAAAAATACGCTACATAGTTATATCGTTTTAGATAGTAAATCAATTCGAGCACATAGCATCTGTGTATCGCTACACTAATAGCGTTTTTCATTGACAGAACTGATGCGCACTCTGTGCATATTAAAGTCGTTATACTTTAATCTGAATGCAAAATTGATATCTCAATTGATAAAATGCTCGTATAGTTTTTATTAAACAGCACAATAAAGTGTATTGAGTATTTCGCGGTTTAACTCGTTTCTATATTTTTATTAAACATACATCTTTACATTGATTTGTATACAGCAGTTTTAAAATGCACTAAGTACGCGCTAGTTCTAATGACAAACGCTATAAGAAATCTATTTTGTATGATACACGTGACTTAAAAAAAACTTTCTTACTTTTTAATTAAAAAAAAATGTTATTGTTCTATCAAAATTTTTTGATTAAAAAGAAAGGAAATTTTTGTTACATATCATACGAAACATTTTTTTTTTTCAATACAAGCATAGATATTCATATTTATTCGCCGATGATCAGCAAGTCGCATCCAATATCTCCGTTCGTTTTTTATATTAGGTACGTATAGTTTGCCGCGAAAATATTTTATCTCTCTCTCTCTCTCCTCTCTCTCGCCTGTATCGTTGCTTCTTGCCAGTGCTTCCAAATGCGGGTTCGTCGTCATTCTCAGAAAACACCGTGCGGCCTCTTAATGCCCTTCACGGAAGAAATCAGCGGGTTCTGCGCGAGGTAGAACACTTGTATCTAATCGACGAAGTGTTATGTAAATTTTATTGCGCCGACCTCGCGGTATGCCGGAACACGAATGGAATTTATTTCACGATGGAAGCGAGCCGACTACGGGTGCAAGAGTTACAGCCATGCTTTCCATCTGTTACAGGTGTGCCTGACTCTGTAGTCGGCATCGAGGCATCGAATGGGAATTGATCGATTATGCTAACTGTCGACAGTGAAGAGAGAGAGAGAGAAAGAGAAACGACAGCGAAAGACATCGGACACCATCTCAAAGGGTCGAAGGGGAAATGTTACAACTTAGGATATGACGCGTGTTCGGGAACTCTTGAGCCTTAACATTTAAAGGTAGACGTTTCGAATGATATATAACCAAGGTTGGCAACGTTACTTTATAAAAGTAATTCATTACCTATTTCATTCTCTTTTTTTAAAAAATAAAACTGAAAAGTATAACTCGTTACTGTTATACTCGTTACTTATTTAAAAGTAACTCGTTACCGTCTAAATAACAAGTCGTTATTTTTTTCGTTGGACACTTTTCCCTGGACACTCATAAAATATTATATAAATTTTTATAGTACAAATAAAAATCATTAAAAGTTTATATCGGGTTTTGATAATCGACTCGGACATCTGTCGTCGCAAAAATATTCGAAAACACATGTAGATATGTAAAGGCATGAAAAATATTGATAGTAAAAATGCAGAAATATGAAAATACGTATCAATAAGAGAAGCTGTCAAACGACGTTAGAAAACGAACTGCAACTATACTTCTGTTGCACGAACAACACGAAGAATCCTTATATTTCGCCTTGACATATCCTGCGACTAATCAAAAGATGTCAAGAAGCAAATACGTCGTGGTATTCCAATAATTCTTACAAATCACGCGGATGAAATCGAGGGAGACGCTTTGGTCGCGAAAGAAAGACGGTAAGAAGGTCTTCGTGAAGCGAATGTGTCTCTCCTTTTTACCTCTTTTCGATCTCTCTCGGACTAGACGGAGGCTCTTTCAAAACAGCTGAATAAAATTATTATGATAAGACCTCGATTAATTTCAAGCAGTGGAACTCCGGTAGTCGTCCGGCCGCGTAAGCCAAGCTCTGAATAGGCTTACGCAGCGCCTGGATGTATATTCCTTGGCATCTCCCCTTCTTCACTGCTCTTCTCTCCTTTCCTTTGCCGTTCGTACGTTTCTAAAGACCGTAGAATCCTTGAATCGTAAGCGAACGCGAGACGCAGAATCGGCGGTCATTAATATTGTCGGATTAAACGGCTGCATGCATTAATCCGACCCCGAAGACGAAATCCTATTTCACGTCCCGGGCCTTCAGGGGGTTCTTGTTTCGGAATGTTAGTTTCATTAGAGACGTTCGTGATCAAGAAAACGATTAAAACGAGGGGTGGAAGAGGAGAGGTAGAGCTCTGGGGGGGAGGGGGGGGGGGGGGGAGCGAAGTGTCGAGAAAAAAATATTCTTGCGCTCGGAAAGAACTTCGAATATTTTTCGGTGGTCATTTATCACAGTGTCAAAATCGCCACAAGTGTTGCATAAATGCCGCATGCATGTAAAATAATTTCAATTAACTGTTTTGCTAGGTTAATGAGTAATGCGTTTACGTTTCTTACAATTAGCATCCCTCAATAGGGAAAATCGTGACCGATTGTTATGTAAGGGGGTTAATTGTCAAAAAGCTAATAACGCAATCAGTACGGCATTCTCTTCTTTTTACAGATTGCTAATATAATATTAAATTGTGGTGTAAAAACAATGTAATTGTAGTTTTTGCGCCAAAAACATCGTGTATTACGATTTTTAAGAATAATTCGCTGTAAATATTGCAAAACAACATATTGCATTTCGGTGAATTATATAAATATTTTACTTAAACATTATCCGTTCGATCATAACCGACGTTCAACGGTAAAATGAGTGTAAAATGAGTTAAAATGTCAAACAGGTCAAATTGGCATAACGTAGATAATGGATGAACAACAACAAGGCAAATCCTCAAAATGTAGAAAGCGCGGGAAATACGAGATGCTATAATTTATTAAAAATTGACAAATAAGTATGATGAAAGCATTCAGTACTTCACTAAGGGATAAATGTATTATAATGTAGTTAAAAAACATTCATTTTTACATTCATTTTTTTTTTATAAAAATTATTATTTAAAAATTGATACCTCGATTTTCTTTCTTACTCGACAATACATATTCGTACTTATTTGGATATGAACAAGCATATTTTTGAATATTCGGAACTATACGAATTCACAAGCGTTCAACATAATGAAAGAAAAACACAAGACATTGATAAAACTCGTCATGGACTTCTATTTTCTACCTGAATGCAAAGGCGGTCAGTTGCTCTTTGTTCTGTTCGTTACCTGCCGGTCCTCATTCAAGTACACTTAATCCTAGAAGTATTCCATTGTTCAGCATTATTTTCTAAAAAAAAAAACATGCAAATTTACTATTATATTTTTATTATGAAGAAATTCTTGACGTGTTAACAATGTACCCGGATCCTATATCACGCTATCCCATGCATTATTGATCAATTTTGCGACAAAATGACTCATTACCACGTCTAATAAACTACCGCTCTGTAACGTTCATAAACTTACGTTCGTAATTCTTCAATATCACTTTCATTTAAGTCATATTATGATGTACGGGTTGTTTATAAAGAATATCAAAAAAATTAAAAACTAGATTGTTAATATTTGCTCTACATATACATACACACACACACACACACACACACACACACACACACACATATATATATATATACATATGTGTGTGTGTATATATATATATATATAATTTATTACATTATTGAAAATTAATACAGAAAATATAATATATTATTATTATAGAATTATTTACATAATATATATATTATTTAAAATGTATATACATTAATAGGTACATCAATCGTACCCCAAAATTGATCTTCAAATTGAAACTGTCAGATTGCAAGATTTACATTTCAATAGCAAATGTGTTTCTTTATCGTTTTTATTTTTTTACTTTGAGTCTCGAGTTGTATATTTTTTTTTAATGTTTACGAGTGTGAATTTTGAGAAGCAATGGTCCGGACGACAGGACGCCGCAATATTGCGATCCTCCCCCCATCTGCGTAGGAATTCCATAATGACGCGATTGCGTGGCATCAGGCACGCGTTGGTTCCCATGAGGCGAACAGCGTTCGCGATTAGGCATGAAAAAGCAGACAGCAGGGGGCATATCGCGTATGTCACAGGATGAGGCCCACACCTTCTCGGCGACGTCCACACGCGCTATACTAGCGTGCATCGCGCTTTAAGGCGAGGTGTAAAAATACACGGTGTGTGGGCGAGAATTACCAATGGAGATGCGTCTTTCGCTACAATGAGACCGAATTTGAAAATGTAGCCAAATGTCACGTATACATTTATGTCATTGGATCGTTACTGCGCATATACCGAGGAAGGTACGACGGGAAAATTTATGACAATGCGAATTCCACTCGAATTGTCTCACCGACAGAGAGTCTGACACGTACTCTGTTTTGACAACTTGACTGCGGCCTCTTTTGAAGCTTCATTCAAAAGAGGTTCAATCTGATCGTATTAACGTAAGTATAAAAATTGTGCAATCGCGTTTGCGAAGTTTCCTGTTGCCGTCAATCTCCGATATCTCTTGGGAAGTGAAAGAAGATAATCTATTCGATCATAGCGGAGGGTGTTAGAAAGTGAGCGATGAGACGCAAAGACTATTTATCATCTAATCGTAATTTTTGTCACGATCGAATGGTTAGAAAACGAATACTCGTGAAATTCTCAAACGATTTCCTTGGAAAACATAGTCGACATAAATGATAAATTATCATTATGAAAAAACATCATACATTTATATCGTGTTATACATGTAATCCCACATACGAGCTTATTAATTATTCCTAATAAAAAATTTATTACTTTTCATTAAGCAGGATAAGCGTAGAAATTTATCTTTCATCAGGAGGCTATGCTTAAAAATAACTTAACGTGAAGCCTCTGGTATGAAACTTGGCTGACGTACGTGACATAGAAACTTCAATCTACCGCGCTTCATACGATATCCATAAGGTTGCAGTGGCCTATATTTTGCGACCATGTCGTCGTCTTCGTGCCAGCACGCATCAATTTTGTTAAGATCAAGGGCATGCGAATAGACGCAGCGACGGCGCATCCATCTGTCGGAGCGGGTTATACACGCGACGAGGAGAGGTTCGCTCGAGTCGGGGAACCCTCTCGAGAGAGGTGCCCACCGCGTAATCCATTGGGACTCTTGCACGTTGCGTGTGTGCACGTACGGCTGCGCGTGCTGAAAAAAAGAAGGCAACCTGATATGAAGCAAATGAAGTGCAAATTGAGCGGGGCGCGCCGCGAGACTCTAGAAATCCGCTCGGACGAGCCCGGAACGGGCTGTTCGTGAGTAAACTCGTCCAGACGTGAGGCGCAACGTGATACTCTTGCGGCAAACGTCGAGTACTCGAGGCCACCGATTCTTCCTGCTCTTCTTTAGGGGACCGGCCGCCCAAGCCAGATGCGCCCCGTTTTGCGGTTGATCTTCGATGAGGGAACTGATCCAAATTGGCTCAGCCGCGAAATGCGTCACGGAAAACGCAGAAGAATTCGCCAGAGATTTCGTTCTTGCGGTGAGATCGCGCAGGTGAAGGGTATTATTTTTTGCTCAATCACTGATGGAATAAGCATACGAAGATATCGAAACGAGTTCTGGTGCATTTGTTTTCCTCTTAAAGATGAATGTGTCTTAAATGAATCGCTCTTTATTATTATTGTACTATTTATTATATTGAAATATCTGTTTTTCGATTGCATCAAATATCAACTGCGACGAAAGAATGTAATATTAAAAATAAATGGAAAAAAACCTTTTTCTTGAATGCTCAAATATATAAATATATTTAAATACATATAAATGTATATAATTGAAAATCAAATATCTCTCTCAAAATAAATTATTTTCTTTGTGTCTGAAATTTTTTGAATCTCATTTCTTATACTAAACGATAATGTTACAGATTAAAATTACAATTTTTGTAAACCAAGAGATGAAGAAGTTAAAATATTCATAAAATTATATTGCATGTAAATTATATCTCTTAATTAAGATGTAAAAGATTGTATAAACTTATACACGTAAATCTGTGGCACCAATATCGTATAATAACTGAAAATCGATCTGAATGCAAGGTAGGTGATGCTATCGGTGGCGCAAACTTTTTACCGAGGACGATTACGAATGACTACACGATCGCTAAAATTCCAGGCCACGCTTGTCATACCCAATGAGATCATAAAATGTCGAACGACTTTCGAGGAATTTGTGGCGAACGTGTTTACGTCGATATCATGGTCCCTCGATGTATATTGTTCCTAACGTTTCACAGAAGACTTCACGTCCGGGTAAGCACGAGAGAT